GTTGGCGTAATCTGTGCGTACGGTGAAACGATGGAGCGCTCCGTAGTCGCACCACTTCTCTACAGCCTACTTGACGGCGAAGAGCTCTCTCTCTCTCTCGTATCCCACTTTCTCTCCGCCTCGGTGAACTTCTTAGACGCGAGCTCTAACGGGACCTCTCCACCCTCTTGCACCTGCTTCAACACCGCGCCAATGCCAACCTCCGAGGCATCTGTTTCTATGATGAGCCCTATACATGTAGCCGTCGCTGGTAGCTGTCGCCAATTGAGCTGGGTTGGATGGGTGGGGTGCCAAAGGAGAGCTTGTGGCGTCAAAAAATACTGAAGCTCTGCGGGGGTGTGTTGAGCCGTCAGGCGCGAGACCGGGACCCGTGGGTCGCCTTCGCATATCATTTTTGCATGGCGTGAACCCTCAACACCTTGGCACCCCGTTCAGCCCTCAAGTCACAACCAGCTCAGCCAGCCAGACGCATCTGGCTGACGTGGGGCTAGCGTATATAGGGCGCTTTCCGGAGTCGACACGCGAACTTAACTCGCGCGAGCAGCAGGCCTGGGAGGATAAGCTAGCGAAGTGCCGCCTCCGTTCACCGCCGTCACCGAAGAGGAATTTGAGCAGTGGGTGGATGACGTGGCGACGGCCGTCGGCGAGCAGTGCCACTACATCCACGACGAAATGCTAGTGGCTAGACTGTGGGCCTGGATGCCAGCCACCGTCAGAGCGCGTTTGAATGGGTGCACTCTGCTGAGCCGGTGCTTCTGGTCCTGCGTCTACCCGGCGCCGGAAGAGGGTGCCAGCCCTCCACGATTGGTTGCCGGCACGACTGCACCGCCTGACGAGGCTGCAGATCCATTACGGCACAAGGATCACGATTCCGGGGATGTTGTTGCAATAGTCCATTCTGAGCGCGGCGGCAGACGACAGGTGGGCGAAGGAGTTCCACTTCGAGTGCAGGAAGGGCGATGGGACAGTGATAGAGGTCCTGCATAAGCTCGCACCGCTTTCGGAGAGAGCGCGACCGGTCTTCGCTGCGATGAAGTGGCCCGCGAGAGAGCAAGAGTCAGATTCGGAGAGGTCGGGTGACGGAGCGCGGTTCAACAAGTGTGATAGCTGTGGCATGAGGAGCCACCGCAAGAAAGACTGCCCCCACGGCAATGACAGGTGCGCTAAGTGCGGCCGGAAAGGTCACTGGGTGAGGATAGGACCGACTACCTGAATGCGGTGCAAAAGTTCGTAAACAAGGAGCTGAGTGCTGACAAGAAAAAGAAGGGCCAGCCGGCACCGGGAGAGGACGTCGGCATGCCAGTGGCCGCAGTCGAGAAGGTAGTGCAGAGTGAGGGTCCAGGGGGCGCGAAATGTCGGCATGAGCCGACAGAGGACATGACGCTGGAGCCGCGAGTCGCGGGAATCGTGACGGGAGGGTCGAGTAACGGCCGAAATTTTTGGTAAGGGCCCTCGTGGGGGGGGCCGAGATTGAGTTCCAGCAGGATACAGGTGCAGAGGTAAGCCTGCTGAGGAGAGAGGATTGCAGTCGCGCTGGCGTAAGAATGTCGCAGCGCCGACGGCAAGGAAGCACAGTTTTGGGTTCAGGCTCACTACCCGTGACTGAGCCAGCACCGGTAACAGTGCACGGCGAGACGGACGAAGTAGAATTCGCGGTGCATGACCAACCCTCGGTCCCGAACCTCTTGGGGAGGGTAGAGTTGGAACGGTTTGGTTTGGTTGGGGGAAGGTCCGGGAAGGCGTTGTCCTGGCGGCGCAGAGAGGCGCGGTTGATGAGATACGGCTTGCGGAGAAGTACAAAGAGCTGCCACCAGTAGTAGAGCAGCAGTCGGAGGATCCCTTCGAGAGGTAGCGGCAGGTGTTCGTGGAGAGCACTGGACACCTGGACCAGAGCCTGAGGGACGGGCCGAGTTGTAGAAGCAAGTGGAGAAGGAGTCATCCGTCCTTCGAAAAGCGAGTGGGCCGCCGCGCCGCACTTCGTGAAGAAGACGGGCGAGTGGAGGTGCGTTTTGGATTACCGGAGGGTGGGCCAGAGCATGACTGCCGACTCGTATCCGCTGCCCCGGATATGGGACCGCTTGAGGGCCGCGGCAGGCCGTCAGCACTTCACGACTCTCGATATGAACTCAGAATTCTGAAATGCGCCGATAGCGGAGGAGAGCAAGCACCTCACCGCGTTCGTCACACCGTTTGGGCTGTCCCCTTCGGGATTAAGAACTCGCCGGCGGAGTTCCAGCGCGTGATGGACATGGTGTTTGAGGAGGGTGTTACATTGATGATATCATCGTCGCGACGGACACGGTGCCGGAAACGATGCAGCGGTTGGAGAAGGCCGGTGGATGTGTGTCAAGAGACACCGGCCTTGCGACTGTGCAGAGAGAGAGGCGAGTGGTCTAGATAAGAGCGAGTGGC